CCTAGTAGTAAGGCCAGGAGCCCCTAGTAGCTTCTTGTTCCTAGTAAGGCCAGGAGCCCCTAGTAGCTTCCCCGGCTTATACATTCAACCTACAACCAAGCCCCAACAACGAGTTTGCTCAGAACGCTGGGACCAAACACCTGTCATCTGACCTTGACTCTCCACCAGCACTGGGACGAAGAATAATTTTATAGATCAGATCAAAAGTCTTGGAATGGGTCAAAGGCCTTCGGTTCCTGTTGTGCACCACATTCATCAGTGTTTTGGTCCTACCTTCAGACGGCATTGTGCCCCCGAAACAAGAAACAAGAAGAAGCAAGAAATATCCCCCTACCTCTGCAACCAGTGCGATCCTCCCATACTGAAACATGTCCATTTCGACTGTCAAGCCAGCCTGCTGGGTTTATCGGAGGTTTGCCTCAGGCGAACGCGATCGTAACGTGCATGTTGGAAAGCCGAAGCATTGAAAGGATCACAAGAAATCTATATTATACAGTATAATGTTATATAATGTTCACAGTGGCGATGTTTGTCTTTGACCTGGCTTGAGGGGAAAAGGATGCAACTGAAAGTTTCCCACATGGTGGTACGTAGATACGGCAAGCTAGATCATAGTGGAAACAAGGACAATTGACCCAATTCGATCAGCATTGCAGGCTCATATTCTTTATCCAGTTGTCCTGAGTAAGATCTTAAACCTTGATGATAGAGCAGTTGGACAACTCATTCCACCAATGGCAAATGTCCTCTTCTTTCACTTGCTCCTTCAACTCAAGACATGACATGGATCGTATGCAAGGTATAAAGCCGCCCCAAAACGCACCACGCGCTGAGTTCGCCCGTGAAGGATGGGCCTTTCTTAAGATCCTGGGTCTCTCCTTATGAACCACATCAGCACGCGCCGGACGTTCACGTGCTCCAGGTGGCTCTCAGGTGCTGCCAGCGGTCTCGGAATGGCAGCCCTTAAGATCGCCAGGGCGTGGAGCAAACGAAAAGAAGCGATGCCCTTTGTTCCTAGTAGCTTCTTGCTCCTAGTAGTAAGGCCAGGAGCGCTCCAAGTAGTGTCCTTGCCCCTGGTAGCGATGCCCTTTGCTCCTAGTAGGTTAAGGCCCACTCCTACAGGAGTTTCGGTCAGTTGTTTAGACATTGACAGAATCACTTGCCTTGACGGATCAACGAATGCCAAGAATCGGCTGTGGGCTCTGCACATAGCAAATCGC